TCACCCCTTAGGGGCCGCAGCAAGCATGGGGCTTTGAACTCAAGCACTGCTTCATCGAGGCGTTTGAACTATTCTCGCGCCTGGAAATTATGAAATACAGAAATTTTCTTAAATTCAATTTTATAGAGAATACCGGGCCCTGCTTGGTTTGTAAAAGTCACTTTTTTCATAAACCTGCTGGTTTTATCAAAATACGCCAAAAACAAAAATTTGAACACCGAAAAAAGTCGGGATATTTCAGTTTTTCTCAGTTTCTCTTCACAGGCAACTATTGTTTCACTCTTAACACGACAAACCCGTATATTTTCTTTCAGTCCGCGTGATTCTGCATTGAATGATGATATTTGCAACCCACTACCCATAAAATAAAGCAATTTTCCTGCATTTGAACGTGGAAAAACCTAATATTTTGTACTTTGAACGAGATTTGAGCTATTAAACATAGTGGGATTACTCTGTTTTTTTTTAAATAGACAATCTTTAGGCAATTCCAAAACGATCATTAAAGTGTAGAGCCCGTTCAGACGTCTTTCTGGGCCAAAACACAAATTTACAGAATTGCCGAGCGCCTGGTGGGTAGGCAACCCAGCAGTACAATACCTTCCGCGCACTTGTTAAGCGTCACTAAGGTCCGGAAATGCATATCTGATGGCAGAATCGAAATCAGAGGGGTATAATTAGTCGGAAACGACACCCTGCTTGTCGTTTTGGCATAACTTTTGCAAAGTGTTCAAAAGGGTTCAAACCTTGAACAGATTTGGTACAGGGGCTTTCTCACCATGGGTATCACATCGGTGGACCACCCACACATCCTCGCGATGTGAAACGTTAGCAAAGAGGCCTGTTTACGCCGATTTTCATAGCTAGAACAGCCAAATTGGCATTTTGTACAAGGTGTTCAAAAACTGTTCAATATCTCGGCTCCACACGCAGCCATCTAAATGGGCTGCGGACCAAAAGTTTCTAAATGGTCTCTGGAACCTATGTGCCAAATTTCATGCTTTTATCACGATTTGCAAGATTGTTATGGGTACCTCTTGCACTAATATGACAATCCCGTCTTCGCATGATTATCATTGAGCCTGGCCGGGCAGCTTTGGGCGCTATGGGGGCGGGGAAGCTTCAGGTAGCGCGGCGGTCACGGCTGAATGGGCGACGAGCGCTTGAATGTGTGACCTGCCCGTCTCATCTGCCGTCGACCTCCGTGCGTCGTCACCCGGTGAAAGGTGGCGGCTAATTCCCATCATCGCGGATTTATCTCGCGATTGGGCCCTGGGCTGGTTGGGTGGTGTTCTGGGAATGGAGAGCGGCAGCGGCGGGAGCGGGTGTTCCCATTTATTTAGGACCTGCTGCGGCGACCCGAGTCCGGCTTTGTCGCCCATTCACGCACGGTCGCCCGTTCCCTGACCCTGGAGCGGGAAAAGCCTTGGGAAAGGTCGAAAAATGTCAGCGGTTCATTCGTCCCGGCGGCAGCGCTAACTACTCTTTGATTACGCACGGGTCAAATTATTTACTAATGACGTTGTTTTTCTGGTTGTTGACAGGCTCAGCTCACCCTGCCCCAGACTTCAGAACACACACAATCATCAAACCAACATATTATCATGTCAGAGACAAGAGAGAGATATCAACAACGAGAGAAGAGGTAACTAAAGAGTTTCTTTTTGTCTGGGTCTGTATGCTTCGTCAAATTTTGAAGTTCTCTGTTAACAGTTGCATTGCATTTTCAGACTGGAAATAAGCACCTTCATGACTTACTGATAGAACTAAATCTTGGAGGAGAGGAACACATCCTGGAACTAAAGTTAAACAGGTTTGTTTGTTTAGAAGCTTTCAGAATTTGTGCTGTGTTGTTGAAGAAAATAAATAACCTCATATTACTTTTCTTCAGGGAACTATTGACTGGAAATTATTTTCAAAAACATCAAGAAAATGGGACAAACAAAATCCATAGACCCACGCCAGAGGTAAGTCAAAAATTCAGTAAATGTTCCTCTCTTTATAATGATATACACCTTGATCATGCCTTGATGCACTGCATTTTATTTTAGGAAGTAGATCTGTGTCAGTATCAGGGGCATTTGAAAGGAATTCAAGATTCGTGGGCTGCTGTATCAACATGCAATGGTCTCAGGTGTGCATTCATTATTCCAACCGTTTTGTCCCAGTCCTTTTTCTTTTTACTTTTGTCTCAAGTTGAAACATGTGTTTTTTCTCTCCTAAAATTCTAGAGGAGTAGTGTTTGATGGAAATGAACTCCATTATTTGGAACCTAGTCCCTCAAAGTTTCTAAAAGCCTCCCACAATAAAAAAGAACTTGGAGAAATTTATCATTACAAACACTCAGATATTGTTGAAACTAATCACACATGTGGTAAGTCATCAACACTCATTTCCCCCCCTTCAGTTTAAGCGCCTCACTCAAAATTCATTTTATTTAATTTTTAATTTTTCTTTAGGCTATGAAGGAACTCCACACAAAGTATTACAGAATGAACACATTACTCAGTTGCACAGGGTGAGTCATTTATAAAAATTACAAAATATGTATTTAAAGGTTGTCATGTTGTACTTTTTAATGGTTTAGTATATAATACATGTATTGTCTTTACAGTTGAAACGTAGTGCAGACTCTCAAGCTGATGATGGCATTACTGAAATACGTGGCCCTTACAATGCAAACAAAAAGACAAGATATGTAGAGTTGGTGCTTGTTGTTGATCACAAAGAGTTCCTAGAACTTGATTCTAGTAAAGAAAAAGTCTATCAGCACTGCAAGGACATTGCCAACATTATAAACGCTGTAAGTAACTGTTCCTACTAATTGCAAACAATAATAAAAAAATAATAAATAAAAAAAAACAACTTTTTTTCCCTGTTCTTTTAGCTCTACATGCCTTTAAATATTTTTATAGCACTAATTGGTGTTGTTGTTTGGTCTGAATATGATGATATTTCATTGGTTTCAAATGGAGACACAACCTTGACAAACTTCTTACATTATAGAAGAGAGAGGCTTGTGAAAGAACATCCTAATGATAACGCGCAACTTTTAACGTAAGCTTATTAGTTTTAATTGGTTTTTCCTCCCTTATTTGTTTAAGCTGAAGTTTAATCACATCTTTTTTCACAGGCGTATCCAATTTGACAATGGAGTTCTGGGGAAAGCATTAAAGGGGCCAATTTGTACCTTTGAATTCTCTGGTGGTGTCAATATGGATCACAGTAATGTTGTTGGTCTGGTTGCCTCTACTGTGGCTCATGAAATGGGGCATAACTTTGGTATGGAACACGATTCAAGTGATTGTATCTGTCCAAGTGAAAGATGCATCATGTCACCATCTTCTAGGTGAGCACAAGGCAAACTTTGTTGTATTTGTGTGAGTGGTTCTTGTTTGCTTTTGGAATACCTAGATTCTTGTTTTGTTCCAGCGCTCTGAGCCCCACTCAGTGGAGTAGTTGTAGTGAAAAGTATCTTTTACTTGCATTTCATCATGGGATGGACTATTGTCTTCACAATAAACCAACAAAGTAAGTTTTTGGTACCTGAACAAACTATTACTAATTTCTGAAAAATTTTAAGATGTTAATGAATTTTGTCTCAAAAAAATAATTGTATTTTTTTGCAGGTTATTTGGAAGTCCTGTTTGTGGAAATGGATTTGTTGAGCATGGAGAACAATGTGACTGTGGATTAGAGAGTCATTGCACAAATCCATGCTGCAATGCTACAACATGTATGTTACATGCCAACGCCTCCTGTGCAACAGGAGAGTGTTGTGATTTTGGAACCTGCCGCCCGAAAGCAGCAGGAAGTGTTTGCCGTAGTGCAGATCAAGAATGTGACTTACCAGAATTTTGCACTGGAAGAAGTGAATATTGCCCTATAGATGTGTTTAAAATGGACGGAGAATCGTGTAATCATGGCAAGGTACCGTAATATAATATTTTTATCTAAACAATTACTATATCTTTTAACTTGTTTGTTTAGCTTATGTATAGATCTCAATATATTTTACAAATTTATACATATGAACTAATTATCCGCAGGCATTCTGCTACAAAGGAATGTGCAGAACACGTTCAGACCAATGCAAGTTACTTTGGGGCCCATCAGGAAAAAGTTCTGACACCCAATGCTATAAAATGAATATTAAAGGCACAAGACATGGAAACTGCGGTTTCAACCGACTGAACCAGTCCTATGTTAAATGTGTAGATGAGTAAGTGTCAAATCCATTGATGATTGGCTCACAACTTCATTGCTGTTTTCTTGCATTTCAGAATCCAAATTAAAACTGTTGTATTATTTTCACAGCAATATTTACTGTGGCATGCTGCATTGCAAACATCTTAATGAAAGACTTGAATTTGGAATGGAATCAGTATCAATTTTGTCCCATTCATTTATTAATTCTGGTGGCAGTATTATTCCTTGCCGGACAGCAATTGTTGATTTGGGATTGAATGAAGTTGATCCTGGACTTGCACCTGATGGATCTAAATGTGGTGAAGATAAGGTTTGTTGTGAAGTTCATAACTTAAATTCCGATTTGTAATGTTGCCTCCTTTATCTTCTTAGTAGAACTTTGATGGACTAGAATTTCCTTTTCTTTTGCAGATGTGTGTGAATCAGAAATGTATGGCTGTTAGCTCGTTGAGAGCAGGAAGTGTAGTAGGTGACTGTCCACAGAACTGTAATGGCAATGGTGTATGCAACAGTAAAGGCCATTGCCATTGCAATCCAGGATTTGCTCCACCTTTCTGTGACTATCCTGGTACAGGAGGAAGTGAAGACAGTGGACCTGCAACTGATCCAAACGGTAGGTTTGAATTGATTTGTAAGGTATAGATAAAAAGGTAACCTTAAAAGGTTCAAAAATTGATATAATGCTATGTTTTACTTCCAGCTGGGCGAAAATTTGTCACTGCATTATATATAATTTTCCTGGGAATTGTGCCTTTTGTGGCTATGATGGCCCTCTTGATGTACTACACTCGACCGCTTGTTAAGCATTGGTGGAAAAAACCAAGCAATATTGCTGTAAATGGAACTCGCCACACAACGTATGTACCCAAATCTGCTTCTGCATGCTGCATGTCCATTGGGAGGTGGACTAGACAACTGAGCTGCTCTGGCTCTTGCAGGCATGTAACTAAACCACATATATCATCTTTTTGCACTGGTTGCTTTCACTCACAGACCCCTTCAAAATGCTCTTTTGAAGGTAGTCAAATAACAAGTAGTCTCAGCAAGCATGATCAACCTACAAAAGAGAGGGATTTTTCTGTCTCAAGGCAATCAGATACTCTAAATGTTAGCCATCCATCCCAATTTGATGCTATTGTCAGTGCTCCTATTCCTTCTATATCTGGGGCTATAATTTCTAAAGAGAATTCCTTATCTAAAAGCTATAAGTCATTAAAGAATTGTAAAATTCAAACTTCTCTCTGGAGAAGAAGAAAAGAAGTAAAGCAAAAAAAATCAAATCTTGGCCATAAATTTAGCAGAGAAATTGTTAAATCAGAATTGGTTTTTACAACAAACCCTGAAGTTATGAAAATTATGGGACAGACTTCAATTCTTGGGGTTGGCAGTTCTAGTTTAGTCAATGTTCCTGCCAACAGTGGCACAATGTTCAAAGAATCTAAATTAGAGTCTTGTATGAATGCACAAAAAGTATTATCTAAAAGACAAGAGTCTGATGGTTCATGTCAAGACAAAGAATTATCAGCCAATCAAATAGTTTCTTCTAGTTATGACCTACACTCTGATGAGAATTTGATGAAAGCCTCATGTAGTACTTCAGCAGAAAAAAATGATAATGATGACATTGCTGTTGACTGTGATGCAGTAATCATAAATTTCCACAGTTGTCAGAAAAAGAAATTTCCAAATGTTGATTCTTATGGTGTTGCATCTTCTAAGCTTATCACAGAGGTTATTGAAGTTGCACCAAAGCATTCAAAGGCTCCTGAAAATAGAGATGGTCACATAAGACTATCATTTCGCAAAAAACTTCGCAAAGTTGAACATGATTTGTGGAAGACTAAAAAAATTAAGCCAAAAACTGTCATTACAACAGATATTTATATTTAGTGTTTCCGTTTATTGGGAAATCACTCCTTAGGAGTAGACCAACGTAACATATTAGGCATAAATTTTTCCCATCTAGATTTGTCTAGTGATTGTGATAAAAAGATGGCTGTGCTCTCTTTAATCATAGAGACATTTTTCAACTCTTATATTTATAAAAAGGAAAATGTTGTCTTGTTTGGAACTTATTAGATTAGATTGTATCCATTGCTTGTCTTTATTTAATTTTGACAACACAATGTTTTATCAAAAAGCAAGCAAATCAAATTCCATTTTATAGTAACGATTGTATTTTGGCAACATTTAATGACGCAAAGCTAACATCAGAATGCGTTTTACTGTGCCAAAACATGCTTGTTGAGGTTTACTTTATGGAAAATAACAGATTTATTGTTTTTTTTTTTTATTGTGTATAGTATGTTTTGGGTTTTGTGATTTTTTTGTTGTTGTGCTGTTTCTCTGTTTGTTTTTATTTCATTATTTTGATCATAAAGACATTTTTATGCACATCTGAATTAAGCTGTCACCAGCATTTTAAGTTTTTCTTGGATCAAGCATCATGCTGTTGTACTGCAAAGTTCTTGCATTTTGTCCACTGTTTGATTTGTTATTGATTGAGCTTATGTCAGTTATTACTATAATCTTTGTTAAATATTGTGAAGCATGTGGCATGTTTTCTCATGAATACATACTTGTGATTTAGGTTTGTAGATTTGTTTAATAAAACTGTTTCACAGATATTAACTCAGCAGCTATTTATTTATCAACTGACTTTTTTAGAGAAGCTTTTTTGTTATTTGTTATTTTGTTTTTGAGGTTGTTTTACGTGCATGCTTCTGGACATATGCCTGTCTTTCTTATAATGGTTTCTAACTAATATTAACACATGGTGATGGGAAAACACTGACTGCAACACCACCAGGTATGACATGCATGGTATGATGCACCCGCCTCTTTTTTTTTAATGAAACAATACTGTCTTGACTTTTAAAATTAACTCTTCATTTTGTGAGTTGAGATAGTAAAATACACACTGAAAATATTTTTCTTTTGTTGCAGAAAACCTGGTGGTCAGAACAGAACTGGCAGAGGTAATTCTTTAGCATTCCACAGCTTAGATCGGAGTGGTGGACCGAAAATAAACGGATCTGCTGGTTTGCGGGATGTATCAAGCCCCATCTCTGATAGCACTCATGCATCTTTGCTACCGCGAGCTGTAACCCCAGTTAACTCACCATCTTCAAGTAATGATGGAAGTCCTGTGGCTAACCTTCAGATCAGTCTCATTGGACAATTCAAAGGTTTCAGTATTACTCCAATGGGCCGGTATTCAGAAGACCCAGTTCAAGGTGCTGCAGCTCCACCAATCACCACCAAACCAGCTCCACCATCCCCTGCCCAATCAGGTTTACGCAAAGCTCCTGCACCACCATCTCTTCCTTCAGCATCCTTAAACGCTCCATCCAGACCAGTTCCTTCTAAATCTCATGGTCTTAACAAGATGCGGTCAAATGCCTCTTTAGTCAGCGCAGTTTCTTCTGTTAACAACTCATCTATAGCTCCTGCCCTACCACCTGCAAATGCTCAAGCTTCAGGGCGACCTCTGATCAGCAGTCCTATATTAGATGCCACTACATCTTCTACAGCCAGAGATTTAGTTGATGGCTCTCATATGAATACTGCACCTTCTACGTCTGCTCCTATTCGACCAGCTCCGTCAGTTCCAGTTACTGATGACAAACTGTCACATCCACATGCAATATCTACAGTGCAAGATGTACATGTAACAATCAATACTGAGAAAGCCATTAGTTCTAAACAGCCTCAGTATCCTACACTAACCAAACTTGCATCAATGTTGCGGCCTTCAACATCATTCAGAACTCAAGAAAAACGTGAAGATTCTCAAAATGTGAAAGCAGGAAAGCTACTTGGCAAAGATAAGTTACGCTCCCTGCAAATATCGAATCCAATACCACAACAGGAAATTGAAATACCCAATGCTGTACCAGTTCAAGGCAATCAGCCTGTTGTAATGCGGGCCCAAAGTATGCGCGCGGGAGCCAATTCCAAGCGACCTTCTATTCAGTCCTTTGGTTCTATGAGACAACCTGGCAAACGGCCTCCAAGTGTTGCATCTGGTAATCTTCACAGACCTACCTCACCACCACCTCCAAGGCCACCTCCTCTTCCAGAGTTTACTTCTAAAGAGACAGGAATCATTGGACTTCCAGGGTATCAAAACCCTCCAGAAGCCATGGTGAATAAATTGCCATCTGATTACTCATATGACGACTGTCTGAATGTCGTCGGGGATGTACCACTTGCGCATATTGATGAAGAAAGTAGCCCAACCAGTGGGGACAATATTTATGCAGTTATTGAGGAGTCACCCGAAAATGGTGGACGGAACCGTGTGAACTTTGCATTAAAGTCTGACTCATCCACTGGTGATGATGTTCCAGAATATATTTCACCCACAGCAAGCATTTACAAGACTCCTATTACATCTCCAACTACTATTCAATCAGCAGGTAGTAGTGAGTCAATGGGTCTCCTGGGTGAAATTGTTTCTGCTATTCAAGCAAGAAATACTGAGTCTATTTATTCGTCATCTTCTATTCCCCCTAAGAAATCTGATGATGACACTACTGTCTCTGAAAAGCTAGACAGTGATCCAAGCATAGTTCCATCAAAAAGTGAAACAAATTACTTAAGGGCACCCTACTCTACTTCAACTTCTAGCAGTGGTTATTTAAGTCCAAATGTAACAAATTCTGGACTCAAGATGGTTGGTAGTGTTGTCAATACCCTTCAGAGTCCCTTGACAGCTGCACCAGCAGCCATTACAACAACTACTACCTCAACAACTACTGCCTCTACAGGAAATTCATATAAATCATATGGCACTTCTCTCAGAACAAGAGGCCCCTTGGCAAGCACATTCTCCAGGCCAAATGTAACATCTATTTCTGCCCCTACACCTCCCCCTGCATCACAAAAACCTCAGCTTTTAACCAAAAAGCCTGTCAAGATTGGTAATGTAAATTCTTCTCAAGAGTCTAATGAAAGTACAGCCAAAGAGAAGACCTCACTAACAAGTACTAGTCCTGATGTAGTTTCTAGCTGTTCATCATCAGCTGATACATCTTCACCAGATGTCATTAGTCCTGCAAGTGTAGGGAAAGGTGTACAACTCCCCAGTGAAACACCCTCTGAGCAAATTACAACAATATCTAAACCAATTGGTAAAGGGCCTACTGGTTTAAGATCAACCAGCGTCCGCCCACCCATTAGTGCTATAAAACCAAGTTTAGATGTTAGTGGGTCAAATGCCACAACCTTACAATCTAGAGCTGCTGCGAGTAAAATTTCAAATGTTGCATCACTACAACAGAAGTTTGAAACAGGCTCAGCAAAAGCACCGCCAGCAGTCAAACCTAGAGTACCACCTTCAAAACCAACTTTACCCTCAAATAAATAATGTTTAAGATTTCTGTCTATTAGAATGTTGTTGCCTTTAGTTACCTCTAGCATACAAGTTGACAATTTAGTGTCATGGTTCATTGTGATAATGTCTTTTTGCTCAGTGCTTGGGCAGTCCTGTTATTAGTCAAGTCAACTCAAGTGTTGCCCCAGCTTTGATGAATGAAGGCGCTACTCGTCTTTTCCTCATAATTGGCGAAACAAATTGGTTACATAGTTTACTCGTATGTATATTAGATTTTTCATGACAATTTCTTTTGAAAAATAGATTGGCATTCCTTATGAAGACTTATCAATGTTCAGGATAAGTGCTGACTCAAAAAAGTTCACAGAAATGCTCATTTTACAAAGTCTTCACAGGGGGATGCATTTTGTAATTTTATTGTATATACTATTTATTTACCTTGTATGGTATGAAATTTTCTTTATTCTAGAGAAACTATTTTTGCATCATTGGTGTGAAGTGTATCATATATGTATAGTTAGGAATGATTAGGAATGAATCAATGTTCTTTTGTTTATAGTCTGTTTTATAGTGCATCAATTTGTATGTAGAGCCAAGTAGTTATATGGGAATCAACCACATGCTCAATGTGATTATGTATTGTTGGAATTTGAATTTGATTCTAGATTGTTCAAGCAGTTTAATGACAAAGTTCTTAGTCTGACTTATTGTACCATTTTTCTTTTTCAAATTTTACCATTTTTCTTTTTCAAATTTTATCTGCCATTATGGTTTATGTATTTAAATTGCAAATTATGTTGTTTTATTCCATGGAAAAATTGTCACAGCTGATTTAAAAATTTGTATTGCTCACAATCTCTGCTTAATGTTGTTGTACACATACTTAATTGAACTGATGTTAAACCTTTTGTTGACTGATCTGTTTTTCTACTTAATGAACAACACTTATGTTTTAATTTTGGTGCTGACTTCTGTTTTTATATCCTGTCTGTCAATAGTACAGCTTAAACCTTTTAATCTAAATCAGTAAACAAAAGTTTAAGTTGTGATAGAGTTTACAGGGATTGAATTACTGATGTTACATCATTGATTACTCTAAAGTGGTTAAAGGTATTTCTCCATTTTGCATTTTCATACTTCGTGTACAGCACTCATGTTACTTACGTATTACATGTGTGTGCTTCACTAGCTTTCAAATTCTCTGAACTCCTCTTTAGCTATTCACAACATTTCATGTCAGAATGCATATTGTTATTTTTCCTAAAAATCTTTATTTTAATTTTTTATATGACTGTTTTTTGAAACATTTTGATTGTTGTTCAAAATTTATCCTGTAAGTCTCATCAGTGGCAGCTTTTACTCTTAAGGAATCTTGTGATAGGCATTGTAGCCCTTATAAATTATCATTTATTTATGACGTCTTGAAAATGTTGTTAGTGTTATTGTAGATAGATCATTTTTTATTAACTATAATGTGATGTCTTGAATGTTTTTCTATTTACAAACACTAATGTGAGATAAATTTTCTTAACGGAATAATATCTCTCGACCTTTTGTAAGATATGACTTTGTACTGTTGGTTTATGTTGCAGTGCATATGATTCGAATATGCATAGTTTTTTGTAAATCAAGATATGTTTCACCCTATCTTTGATCTCTCAACTTGAAGGTGATTACTCTCTACTGCCTCTACTACCTAATTGTCTGTACTTGACACACTAGTGTCATTCATGAACTTGCCCACACATTATTTGATCAAGACTTTATATTATTGAGAAGCCAAAGACCTCTTTTTTATTACTCAAATAAATATTGCATCATGTGTGCATTCTGCTAATTTGTGTTTTTGTTAAACACCCATTCTGAAACCAGACAAAACTCAGGCTCACCAATTCGGCCTTAAAACTGTTGTCTTTTTTTAACACAGGAGGAAAGAACTTGCAATCTTGAAGTGACCCCCCCCTCCGCCAATTTTTTTGCAATGCTGGATCAATTGGGTGGGGGTGGAGTTGCATCCTGTCATACCGGGTGGCTGACTCACGCCGCGCACTTCTGTAGGTATACTGTACCGCATGCATGAGTGCGGGCGGGCTTGCCTATCGCCCCTGTCCACGGCGCCTTACGAGCCGAGCGAGTAGGCTACCCGCCCGCACTCGTGCATGCGGTACAGCATAACTACAGAAGTGCGCGGCGTGAATCAGCCACCTGGCACATACCAGGAAAGGTTCAATACAATGAGGGATTAGTTTTTTTCCACATTTAGACTTTTTATTTCATTTTTTTTTGCATCCAATTCATCTATAGGTTCATAAAAATAAAATTATATTTGTGAATTTGTTTGCTAAACATTAGTTGTAAAAGTAATTAAAATCTTAACAATTATCAATTGCAGTTTAATCAACTAGATCAGACTGACTAAAATATCTCCCCACTAAACATATTAGCAAATTAACAGCAGCTAATTGACTTGCCTCTGGTTCAACCTGAATCAAAGATTTAATGTGATACTTCTAATGTAAACAGTGAAATAATAAAGTCAAAAACCATAATTTCAAGTCTTACCATAGAATTTCGTATTTGCTGACAAATTCTAGCAATATATCGTAAAGTGCTACAAGTGTCTGGATGCAAAGGCAACTCCAAGCACGACAGCAAAGCAAAGATCCACTGGCCATGGAGATGGGTAATGTGATTACACTCCTCCAGCCATTGACTGTGCCAATTAAGAAGCGTGTCAACCATGGGCTGAAAACGAATTTTCTATGATATGATTTGGAATATTCAAATGTGGCAAACAAAATATAATGAACACAACAGTCTTACCTGACCAATATTAACTAAAATACTAAGAAGGGGAGGACTCCCGCTGCTGTTTTCACACTCTTCATCACACTGAATCCCGAAACAGAGTTGTTTCCATCCCTTCTTGTCGGAAATAGAGGGCTGGAAAATGTAAAAAATTGTATGAACGAGGTCAGCTGGTTTCAGTTGGTTGTCATTCATAACAAAAATTAAAAACTGAGACGATTTTGGATGTATCCCATTTAATTTACTGTTCTCACCAGTGTTATTTGAGGCCCAGGATGACGGCTGGCCTTCCTTTGAGATATTTTCTGGCGTAAATTTGAAAAGTCAGAAACTTGCTTTTCTTGCCATTCTAGACTTGGAGCGAACGGTGACACTGATTTTATTTCTGGCTGAACAAAGGGATTGTCGACAGAATGTGACATCTTGTGTGAGCAAGACGGAGATAAAATTACGAATCAAAAATAAGACACAGAGATAGAAATGTTGACTTTACCTGAACGATATCTGGTTGAGAATTCTTGCTTAACTTTGGAGGAACAGATACAATTTGTTCACATCGTTTGGCTTCAAGCATAACCCTCTGCAGGTATTCCATACCATTGGCAGGAGGTACATTTAAGTCAATGTTTTGACCTTTTAACGATTCTATTGGGAATGCTGTGGCGGGGGCGTAATAATCTGAATCGTCGCTGTCCATTTCATTAAAGGTAAGGGCTTCAAAACTAAGTTAAAATGTCAGCAGAACACAAATTCAAAACATAAACAAGCATTTTCGGGGTGATGAGAAATTGCGAAATAACACATGACGCGTCCTTAATGAAATGCTCGTTATACAACATGACAACACATTTTCTTGAAAATCTTAACTGCTAAACTTCTTGTTTAGCCCACTCAGTGGATTCTTTAAACGGTCTACTCGCGTTTATTTTCGAATAATCTAAAAGACTCTATCTCATCGATGTTTTACAACGTTGGCAAGATGTTTCCAAAAAGAACACGGGAAGAAGATGACGGAACGGACCGTTCTGAAAATTTACTAGCCTGCGGTGAAAAGGTTTGGCAGCGTCGGCCGGTCGACCGACCTTTTTAAACTGCCTTTTATAGTGTGAAAAAGTTATAAATATAGTATTTTTTGTACAACATTCAGATCTCTTGACATTGTCCTTTCTGAAAATGTTCATGTCTTCTCATTGTGGGCCTATTTGAACGAGCAACATTGTCGGTAGGTCGGTGGCCGACAGATCAGCCGGTCGGCCGCTGCTTATCTTGATAGCCTCTTCCCCTCCCACTTTTTCCCCCACTACAATTTTCATCCTCCGCCCTTGTGAATTGTGATTCGCGTTCGATCGAAAAGGGGCATCTCCGTCCGCAGTGTCTCCTGAGCGCTAGTGCATTTGTTTGTCTTTTTAACGTAAATTCTAAGTATTTAAGGCCCTTTGACTGTGTGTGGAGTGACTATGAGATCAAGGTGACAACGCCCGTTTGGATTTTTTTACTGCGAGTGCTGTATCTTACGTAGAAGACAGGAGTTACAATGGGTGAGTACCAAGCCGGATCGCGGGCCGGGCCATTTCTGCTAGGACTTTCCGCAATTCGTGAAAACTGGAGTGGAGGTGTTTAACGTTTTGATAGCGTACGATAGTTTGTATTTCGTTTTCCGCCCTTATTCTCTTTCACATAGAAAAACCTTCCGAAGCTCTTAACCTGCCGAGACAGTTTCATTTCAATTGCAAACTCAAACTCATTTGACATAAAGGTTGTGATGGATGAAAAGGTACTTATTTCCCTTATTTCCATTTCTGAATGGTCAGTCATCATATTTTTCATTCATTGCCCTTTTTCTCTTTACCAATTTTGTCATTGTTGTTTTGGGTAGGACTCTCAGGACTAAATTGCTCCTTCTATTTGATGTGCGTATTTTGACATCACATTAATCGCAACTTGACAAATGCAATGTATTCTGCATCGCAAGATACTCGTCTGCCAAGTGTTGAATCAAATACTCAATGCGAACTGCTATAATTTATATGGTACAGTTCTATCCCCTCCACTTACATACAGGTAGTTAAAACCACATCTGTCTTTCAATATTTACTCGTCAATAGTGTGCAGTGTGCTCTGTCAACAGTCAAACAAGAATTCTGGTTGGAGATTGTATTGCAAACATCTCTCTTTTGTGTTGTGTCTATTGTCAGATCATTGTAAATTGTACCGCAGAGCAGAAAGGGTGACTGCTTTTATTTCGGAATGGTCTTTGCTATCTTGAGGCTTTGCTTTCCTCTTATCAGCCACGGCTTATCTTTTTCCCATACCTGCACCATGCCATGGTCTACAGTTGTGTGAAAGGGATGGGCCTCAGGCCTCCAGCTTGTATTTGTCTTACCAGGAAAAAAAAAAAAAAGAGTCATGTTTTTTTGGGGGTTAATTTTTTTTGTTTTCAAAAATTGACATGTTGTGTATGGAAACTTCCTTGTAATGAATATAGATAGATTGCTAATAAGTTTAAATAGTATTCCACGGAGAGTATCGCCGGTTCCGTTGTCAGCCCACTAATTACCCCGTCCCCGGGGCCAGGAAGTGCGACTGAGGAGAGAATTGTCTCTTTTTTTTTCCTTTTTCCTTTTTTTTTCGGACGTCTTCGTCATCGTTGTCCTCTCACCAGCGTAATGCATGTACGGGCTCGGACGCGAAGTGCTTGTTTCTGTACGTGTGAAGATATTTTTTTCCCCCTCTGGTGTTTGACGCCGTGTGCCCGCCTGCTCCCCGCCCCGCCCCGCCCCCCTCGCCCC